TTTCGACTTTGAAAAGGCTTAAATTAAAACATGTAAATCGGAGCTATGGCTATATCTGGACCAATTTTCACTGAAATCTATTTGCACTTTAAGTGATCTGTATAAAATTTAGCGGATGAATCTCAATGCTGTATCTAAAAACTGTTTTGGAGCGCATTTGACGGGTGTGAATGATATAAATAAATAATCGGGTGAAACGTATGTATGGGACCCAGAGCTGTATATGAACCGATTTCCAACATATAAATAATTATATATTTACCTCTCAGCTCAATTTCGTTGAATGTGCCAAATTCCATAAGGACTTCACTTCGCATGTTTAATTTTTTTTTCACAATTGTATTTGTTAATTAATCACAATCATTTATCAAACTTATTAAATGAATTATGATTCTGATGCATTGGTATTGGACTGGCAATTGTTTTAAATATTTTGACACTCGACATTTTACAAAACAAAAGGAAAGATGCCAGCAATTAACGAGTATCAGTATTTATGAATGACTTTAAATCCCTACTGCACAAAAAATATAAAAAATAATAATCTGAAGGTCTTTCACTATACACAAGTATTTAAATGCCTGCATTCTGATCATCGAAAGTGTGAATATCAATATTAATGAATGCGTATTAAAAAAAAAACAATTCCTTATTTTACAAAAGTACTTTGACTTGCATGGAATCACAACGCCTAAAATTAATGACTTGTGTCAATGGCATGCAATGATATTATATATACACATTTTTAAATATATGTAAAGTGTATAAGTGGTTTTTTTTAAAAATATAATTGTTTTTATTTTTGTACACTGCCTAAATTGTAATAAAAAATATAAACCAACAGAAACAAGTTAAAAAGCAATAACTTCGACCGGGCTGAACTTTGAATACCCTCCACCATTTGGAACGAATTTGGAAATTTTCAAAAATAGAATCCTTAAAACATTCTGTTAAAATTTTAAAAATACCAAATATAGCCGTTATATTGCGGTCTATACGACGTGGGCCTACATAGGCATTGTATGTCATAAGCCATTACCATATTCAAATTCGAAACTTGAAATAAACGGTGAATAATGTAGCTAAAATCATCAAAATATCGTATATAGGGAGGTACCGTTATATCGGAGCTGTGCGAAGACCTGGACCTGCATAGACAATTTTCTTTCACAGACTGTGGCAACCATTACGAACTACAAATACCACATCCCAAACAATTTCGGTGGGTATTGTACCTAAAATCGTCAAAATACCGAATATTGGGATGTACCGTGATATATGGGAGCTATATGAAGACGTGGACCTGCACAGTAAATTTTCTGTCTTATGGTGTAGTATCCATTTCGAATTTCAAATATTAAATTTGAATCAATTCCGGTGAATAATGTCGCTAAAATTATCAAAATACAGAAAATAGGGAGGTACCGTTATATGGGGGCTATACGAAAACGTGGACCTACATGGCTCATTTTCAATACCAAAAGTCCTGCAGATATCGTACAAATTTGAGTAAAATGTTATCAACCTACTTCATTTCGTTCGGAAGCTGGAGTGATTTCCACAGATGGACGGACATTGATAAATCGACATAAATTTTATGATGATCAAGAATATATAGACTTTGTGGGGTCTAAAATGTATATTTCGAGGTGTTACAAACGGAATGACAAACTTAACATACCCTCCATACTATGGTGGAGGGTATAAAAGGTATGAATATATATAAAAATTAATGTCATTGTTTTTAAATTCAAAAAAAAAAAAAAAAAAAAAAAAAAAACAAGTAAAAAAACATTAAGTTCGGCCGGGCCAAACTTTTAATACCCTCCACCTTAGGGTAAAGGAAACATTAGAAGAAATGTTGCAAAAACCATTAAAATGCCGAATATCGGGAGGTACCGTTATATGGGGACTATACCAGAACGTGGACCGATATATTTCATTTTCAATACCAACCATCCTAGACATAATACCAATTGCTCTGCTAAATTTTGGCGCTCTACGTCAAATAATGTGGGCTGTATCGTGATTTCAACAGACAGACAGACAGACGGACAGACAGACATCGTTAAATCGACATAGAATTTTATGCTGATTATGAATATATATAGTTTATGGGGTCTAAGACGAATATTTAAGGATGTTACAAACGGAATGACAAAGTTAATATACCCTCCTTTCCAAGGTAGAGGGTATAAAAATGATTAAGGCATCGAAAGTTCCATGTAGGAATTCAAAATAACAACTATTAAAGATCTCCGAACAAAAACTAACAATGTCTTCCAGTTCCAAAATATAGGATTGTAGAAAAATTCAATAGGGTCTCGGATGATAGATTTCATTTCTTTCGCATATATTAGAATTTAGATTATAGCTGTTATTTTCACCCAATTTTTTAAAATTCTTCAAAATCGTTATGACTCTTATAGTATCCCAAATTGTTAAATACTAACGAAACTGTACGTTAGTACTTCAGAAAGAATAATTTAAAAACTCACGGTTTTAGCTTCTCAAAAACATTTAAAAAAATCGACAACAAAAATGTTTAATGGTCCTATACGATTGTTAAAACTCTTCGATTGTGGCCCTTAAAAATACTGAACTTAAAGGATTATCCATATTTTACTTACGAAAAAAATTCCATCATTAGATAGTCTCACGGAATTTTTGTTATTGAATATATTTGATTACATTGTACTCCTATGTGTTTTGCAGGCCTTCAAGATATATTTTATGTATTCTGATACCCTCTTAAAAATTTGTTTAAATTTTCACGATAATACTCAAAGACCTGCCAAAATACATTGATATTACACGTTTGGTACACAATAAAAGGCAAATCGGACGAAGATATATATGGGAGCTATATCTAAATTTTGACCGATTATCTCCAACTTCAACAGGGTTCGTCCTTGGGCCAAATAAATGATTTGTGCAAAATTTCATCTGGATAGGGCAATAAATGCAAAATGTTCTTTGTTTACAAAAATACATGGACAAACGGACGGACATGCATAAATCGACTCAGAACCTGATTCTATTACGAACTTCAAATACGAAATTTGAAATAATTCCGGTAAATAATGTCGCTAAAATCATGAAAATACGGAATATCGGGAGGTACCGTTATATGGGGGCTATACGAAGACGTGGACCTGCATGCGAAATTTTTTGCCCTAGGTTGTAGTACTCATTACGAACTTTAAATACGAAATTTGTTACAATTCCGGTGAATGTCGCAAAAATCCTAAAAAGATCGAGTATCGGGAAGTACCATCATTTGGGGGCTATACGAAAACGTGGACTGACATGACCCATTTGTGAACTTAACCTGCCTACTGGTAAACTAAGCATGTACTCAAAATTTTAGACTTCTATTTCAATTCGTTCGAAAGATAGCGTGATTACAACAGAAAGACGGACATTGCTAGATCGTCTTAGAATTTTACGCTGATCCAGAATATATATACCTTGGAGTGTCTATTTTGAATATTTCGATGAGTTACAAACAGAATGACAAAGCTAATGTACCCTCCATAGAATGGTGGAGGGTATAAAAAATTCCGTGCTCGTTCCCGAATACGAGATAAGTTGGCATTGCATTCTTATGCCGCTGAGAGTTCCTCAAAAATATTGTTAAGGAAATTCTAAAACCAAAAAAAAAAAAAATATAAAATATTTTGAGTTTCGGGTATTTCGAAGATGAAGGGTTTGTGACAATGTTGAAAACATTAGAGATAAAGATTTGATATTTTAAACATTTCTGAGGGTTCGTCATTGAATATAGGGGATCCAACTGATTTTATATATTGTGATTTTGCACAATCTCTGCTTAAATAATTGCTAATATATGCCTTACACGGAATTCAATTTTTATGTTGTTGGTTTTAATTAAAATTATTCTCTTGGAAATATTTTTAATGTGGCAAAAATAAAATATTTATCTATTTCAATTTCAGCGGATTTCCTGGATTACAAACACACACATGCCAACTGTTTAAAATTTCGTAAATAGGCGATTAGCTGTAAAAAAGATGGTATTTCGGTATTAATTTCACACGCACACTTAGCCACAAAGAGGATTGATTGGCGATTTTGAAGCCATGTTGGCTATGGGGGGTAGATTTGCTCGAAGGCACAACATGTGTGTGTGTGTAGATGAATGTGAGTGTGTGCGTGTGTTCTTATCGAATAGAATTTAATTTTAATTCCGCCAATTTTGATGAAACAGGAAAATCTAGATGATCAAATATGCATGTATTTGCCAAAAAAAAAAAAATGAAATAATAAAAAATCTTCTTTTCAAATGATTCAACACAGGTTAAGTCTTCAGGTTGGAAACAAGATTTTTTTTTTCGAAAATTAAAAACCAAGAAATTCTGGTTATTTTTTGAGAAAATTAATATCACATAGATAGAAACCCGATCGACCAAATTTGATGGCTAAGCATAACCACGAAGACATCAACACACACACACACTCACTCACGAAGAAAAGGGGTGATTTTCTCACAGCCAAAAAAGAAAGAGAATTTGCCAAAATTAGAATTCTTCAATACTGACTGACTGGCTTTTTTAAGCAAATGTTTTTAGCTTTTGGCCAAGATTGCTGTTGTTGTTGTTATTGTGTTGGCTGTGGTTAAGAGATTGTGGTTGAAACGTGAGTAAGTGGTTTTGTTTTCGAGAGAGTAGAAATTTAAAAAAGAGTACAACAACACACACCCAAACTGACTGCATGGAACTCATCTCCATTAACCATAACCAAATATCTGCTCGTTTGCTGTTATTATTGTTGTTCTTGCTGTTGGTATCTCTGTCAGATGCTGGCAATATTGTGTGAGCAGATTTGTGTGCCCGGTCGAGGGGATTGCTGAGGTGTTAGGTAGTTGTTGGCTTACTCTCCTTCAGTGACGTCACAACGCATCTCCAAACCAAGAAACGCTTGCGCACCGACGTTGTTTATATTCGAAAGCTTTTGCCGTATCATCTTCAGTTCTCATAGGTCGATCAAAACGGTACGGTCTCAAGCTTAGCAACTTATCCTCTATTTGAAATAAATTGTAAATTTTGAATTTTATAAAAATATCCAAAACAGTATATAACAAAAGACTATTGCCAAAAAAAAAACTTTAAATGAAATATAAAGAATAAAACAAATGAACAGAATATTCTAAAAACAAAAAATTACAAAAGGACCCACAAAGGAATATTTTTTGTTATTGTTGTTGTAATATAAAAATGCCAAAAAAGAACACTGCAAAGAACTAAAAAGCATGTTATTTAGATGAAATCAAATATATAATATTAAGTGCTGTAGAAAAAAAGTGTTGACAAAATTTTTTAATTTTTTTGTTTTTCTTTGGTTCTTTTTTTATTTCAAGATTTATTTACTGGATCACTAGAACGTAAACATAAATATTTTTTATTTTAAATACCTGTGATTTACCACGTGTATAATTGCTGAAGTATGGCGCGTGCAGTTTTTTGCATGGTGAGTGTTAACTGAAAAAAAAATTATAAATAATAAAAATGAAAATAATTAATTTAAAAAGTAAAGATTTGAAGAAGATCAATTCGAGCTTGCAAAGTATTTTAAAAAAGTGCCCAATAAATTTGAAGGAATAAGGATTATTCTCAAAAGTGTTTACTTTAAAATAAGAATACCCTTCAAGGGAAATTTTAGTTGAAAAAAGAATTTCGGGGATTCTAAGAAAAATTTAGTTCTGAAAAAATCCGAAATGGGAAATTTGTATTTTATGATCCATTTTTTTTTTTTGGGAATTATCATAAAATAAATATTTTTCCAATAATCCAATTGCCTCTATGTTTCTTCAATAGAGAAAAATAGCCAAAAATTAAAAAATTTCCAAAAATTAAAGACGAAAAAATTCCCCTGTTGGAATTATTTTTAATGTAGGAAAATATTTTATCTTTCATTCTAAAATAGTCAAATCAGACCATTCCAAAATTTAAAGACATTTGTAATAGTATAACAAAACAGAAAATTCACATCGAGGGAAAAATTTTGCACATGGGACAGATTTTATGGCGAATACAATTTATATATGCTTCCGAAAATTGAAGAAATGAAAGAAAAAATTCCCCATAGGAGATATATTTTTCCCATGGGATGTATGGAAAGGAAATTTTTGAATAAGGGAATATTTTTTATATTTTACAACAATAATAATTCGCCTTGTCCTAATATATCGAATACAAGCTTCTAAAACAGATCCAAATATAACGGAAAATTAAAAAAAAAAAATCCCTTTAAAGGGAATTTTCATTTTTTTTATTAATTTTTTAATATGGAATGAAATACTAAAAAAGATTCCGAAACCAAAAATTTCCTTCAAGGGAATTTTTGGATATGAGAAATTTGTTGTATTTTGCTCCAAAATAGTTCGCCCTGTCTAAACATATCGAATACAAGCTTCTAAAAAACAAATATTTGGAAAAATTAAAAAATTCCAGAAATGCTGAAACAAAAATTTCCCTTGTGAGGGAATTTTGTTAAAAAATTGGACTTTTCCCAAATTTGATTTTTTCAATATTTTTTACCAAAATAGATTCTATTAACCCTATTTATTAAAGTTGAATGAAATATTTCCAAAGATGCCGAAACCAAAATTTCCATTTAAGGGAATTTTTTTTCTGAAATGGGAAATTTTCGGGTTTTGTTTCCAAAATTTTTCATTGAAAATTTTGTTCTAAAATGTAATAATTTTGAGATCTAAGGAAATGTGCCCTATAGGTCCACCATATGCGAGTGTAAATAGCCAAAACCTCCTCAACCAAAATTTTTTTCATTGAGGGATACCTGCCTTTTCTTTTCCTGCTGTGAAGAAACTTATCGCCAAGAAATTGTCGTTGTGAAAATTGTCATTGGAATCGAAATAAAAATCCAACTCCCAAAACCCTTTCTTAAAATTGTCCCACTCTAAAATATCCCCTTTTGAAGCCCTTAACCCAAAACCTTGGTATACCATTGGAAATCCTGATTAATCCATTTCCGACCCTGTCTGTCCTATACCCAATTGTGTCCCCGTAGACCCTTATCCCCTACCTTCTTTTCCCTAACCTTAAGCTATTTGGTGTTTATGAAAGATTCAATGACTTTTGACCACGATTTTTATTGGAGTGATTTTTTTTTTAAATGGATGTGAAGAAGATTCTACGGATCCTGAGAGGAAATTTTTATGGAGGTGTCTTTTGGAATTCAGGCTCAAAAAATGTGTGGCATTTGTGGTTTCAAATGAATTTTTTATTTTTGAAAACGAATGTCTTCTATGATCTTCAAAATTCAGCATCAAGCTTTTGTACGGCCATATGCCCTACAGCAAAACTTTTGGTTCGAATTAATTTCAATTCGTTGTCAAAGGTTAATTCCGGAATTGCAGATTTTGCAATATTGTTTCAATAACTCAATAATAATTCAATTCAAATTCAGAAAATATTGAGACTGAAAATTGAATTTAGACTCAAAATGGGTGGCATTTAGACCTGGCATTTGTGGTTTCAAATCCACTTACACAGATTTTGAAAAAGAGGGTCTTCCACACTGGGCATTCAGCTCTTGTAGGCCGGAACTTGAGCCTTCAATCAATTCCGCTTCAGTTTTGAATGCTAATTCCAAAATTGCAAATTCTGCAAATTCAATAACGAACACATTTGATTTGTGTTATTGAGAATTATACTGCTCTAATTGTGTTTGTAAATATCCGGGATATTAAATTCTCACCTCCAAGAGAGTTACTCTCTCGCTCTCTCGTGACAAAAAATCCCCATAATTCATACGAAAACAAATTAAGAATCTAGTCAGGCGTTTTCTATTTGGAAGAATATATTTATTCTAATTTCAATTTCAGTATCAGTTCAATTGTTTTTGTTTTCGTTTTTTTTTTTGTCCAAAATTTGCAATGTCTAATGGACAGTTTAAAAATGCAACACATACACACCACGCTTAGAGCCGGCCCAATGTTTTGAGTTTATCGAAAAAAATTCAAATTCAAAAAAGTAGCTTATTTTGAGAGCAAGTATTTGCCAGGTTAATTAGCAAATTGAATAAAAAAATTCAAAACTGACGTGTGTACACATGTATATGCCTAGCTAGAAATCAGCTGCTGCTGCTGCTGAAGAAGAAGATGATGATTTCAAACACAACAACCAAGCCCCGAAAAGACAGCAATAACAGAAAAGGCTAAAGCCCACACCAAAGCAATGAGTCTGTAAATTGGTTAATTATGTTTTTGTTTTCGGATGGTTGTAATCCAACTCCAGCAACACATGATGACTTTACGGATTTGAGTGTGTGTGTATGTGTGTGCGATGTCAGGAACACTTCTTGGGTTCCCTTGGCTAACAAGAACACATACGCACACTCACATCACACACCACAAGTCATACGGCTTCCGTTGCTGCAAAACAAGTATTTTTTTCAATTTTTTTACTTTGCATATTTCTCAAGGTCATTCACCGGTTTTAGCAAGTACTGCTTTAATTTCTGAATATTCGGGAGATGGCATTGTCTGGCTCTTCAAATAAATAAACAAGCTAACAAAAAAAAAAAAAAAAAAACAAACTAGACACACTTGATCACTTATGGCAAACAAATATTTGGGATACGTAATAATATTTGAACGCCCAAATAATATTGGCTTATGCGAAATTGATTATTTCCTCAAGAGCTTAACGTTTTTTTTTTTTTTTTTTTTTTCAAAATTATTTTATTGAAATAATATCATTAAAAATATATCACGTTTCAAATACAATACAATTTTTGCCGGGAGGTGAAGCATTAAAATGCATTGTGTTGGCGTTAACAATACCAAAGGGAAAGGCGTTGACGATGACCGGCAAATATGTGTATTTTGAAAAGAAATGGCCATAAATTGAGAAGAAAAAAAAAAAAACGAAACATATTATGTTAATCTGTGTTCCCAATTCGAAAAAAGCCAAAAGGTGCTTTGTCAGCCACCCAAAAGAAAGAGTTTCACTTTTTTTCTCGGCCAAAATGTTTCGAAAACAAAAGCGAAATTTCTGCAACTAGTCTATCTTTTCTATCTTTCGCCAGCACACGATTATAATAATGATGATGTTGATGACTAGAAGAAATCCGCCGCAAACAGATGATGTCATTTTACGTTATTTTTTTATGGCTGATTGGTTGACTCCTCGGGTCTTTGGCTATACGGTATTTATGACAATGTTTGAGTTGTTCGAACCGTACAGCTAAAATGCTGTAGCGGTGCTTTGCTCTAAGCCAAAACGAGATTTAAATAATTTTATTTAAAAAACACAGCAACCACAACAAAAAAAATCTTAGAACACAACATTGTTGTTGTTGTTTGGCTAAAATTCTCTCAAACAAATCCCACACAGACACACACAGAGACATGCAGGCAAAGCAACCATCCGAAATGTTCTGGGATGATCGGTGAATAAGGATGTTTGAAAACCCCCCAAAAAAGAAAGATAATTGTTTCATTTTAACAGTTATATGGGCCATAAACATGTCATTAAAGTTATATAGGAAATTTTGTTTATTTCCAATAAACCGTTAGAAATGCAGGTGCAATGAAATTTGGCCAAGAAGAAAAAAAAAAAAAAAACAGCGAATTGAGAATTGGGCTTAACTAACCAGTTTGAAATTTGCTTCGTTCTGGAAAGAAACTGGGGCAAATGAAGAGATATGAATAAATTTGAATTCAAATAGATCCAAAGTAAAGTACACACGTTTCAAGTAACCGGTATTCGGTTAAAGCTTTAGTGGAAAAATGGATGGAAATTTTAAATAAATTGTAGCTAAGAGCTAAATAGATCTGTAATTTATAACACAATTAATAATAAGCGCCACATATCAAAAAAGAAAAAAAACATATACGCTGCAAGTAACCGGTAATCGATTTCGAATTAATTTGTGACCGGTTTGAAAATAGCTTTATTTTGAGAGAAACCGGAGCAAATAATGAGATATGAGTAAATTTGAATGCTTACAATCTCATGAAACGAAAAATGGCATGTACCCCTTTTCGAGTAACCGGTATTCGCTAACAGCTTTATAGGAAAAATTGATGGAAATATTACATAAATTGTAGTTAATAGTTAAATATGGCAGATAATAGCTAATTAAATAAAAAATTGCACAAATTCGTTTCGAATAACCGGTATTCGAATTCCGGTTTTCAGTAACCGATTTAAAATTTGGTTAATTCTGGAAAACAATTTGGGAAAGTGAATGGAAGTAGTCCAATTTGAACTCTTCAAATCCATTAAATAAGAAAAAGAGCGCTTCTACGACGAGTAACCGGTATTCAGTTACATCCATTTTCGAAAAATGCATGTGAATTATTAGTTTGTAGTTAATTATAGCAGATAATAGCTAAATAAGTGAAAAAAAAAAACATATTTTTGTGTCAAGTAACCGTACTCGATTTAAATGTTTCAGTAACCATTTCGAAATTGTGGTTAATTCTGGAAAGAAATTGGGAT